TTTTGTTTTTTTAAAGTGTTTGCCAGGGCCAACAATGAAAACCAATGAACAACAAAAAACTGATGACAACCAAAGAAAACATAAGAAACCGACTCAAACACAAATGAAAACCAACGAAAAAACATGAAAACCAAAGAAAAACAAAAAACAACAACAATGACAAGCAAAGAACAACACATGAAAATTATTGAGAACCAAAGACAAATCTATGAACAAAGCAAGGAAAAACCAATGAGAACCACAGAAAAATCAATGAAAAAACAAAGAAGGAACAACGAAAAACAATGGAAAACCAAGCGCAATTTTGCCAGCATTCTAAGTTACTTTTGGACCGTTTGCCCCTGTTGTGTGGAGTTTTTCATCTTTAATGGGCAAAGGAATAAGAGACAATTTTGAAAGAAACCGGAAACCTGTCTTGAGGCGTCTTGGAGACTGAATGTTCACAAAACCTTGTAAATATGCAGTGAAATACAATTTTCGTTGCATATGTGGTTCAAACAGGGTTATTTTTCTCGTTGCTGTTTTTGGGGTACCTTTATGGAGGAAAACACGCTGCACGGAGAGAACTTAGCATGCCTTTTTTTTAAACCTAAAAGATGCATTTTGTATGGCAATACTGTGGTTTGATGCATCGACACACTGGGTCTTATAATGCTGAGCAGTTTTCCAAAATTTTGATGTCTGAATTTAGGTTGCCGCCAAAAATCACTGAAAACCACTGAGGAAAAACATGAAAACCAAAGAAAAACAACAGAAAAACCAAAGAAAACCAGGGACGCACAAAAACAATGATAACCAAAACACACCAAATGAACAATTATTTGAAATCAAAGAAGAAAAGGAACAACACAGAAAAAACAATGAAAACAACAGTCACGAATGGAAAACCAAAAAAAGGACCAACAAAAAACAATGAAAACAATGAAAAACAAAAGAAAAAACTGATGACAACCAAAGAAAACATAAGAAACCGACTGAAAGACAAATGAAAAGCAAGGAGAAACAAATGAAAATCAAAGAGCAAGTAATGAAAACCAATGAAAGCCAAGAGAAACAGAATGAACAATCATTGAAAACCAAGGAAATTAAAGAAACATGAACGAACGATAAAGAAAACCAAAGGAAAACCAAAGGAAAACCAAAGGAATCGTTGAAACACAAATGAAAACCAACGAAGAAAAACATGAAAACCACAGAAAAACGACAGCAAAACCAAAGAAAACCCAAGAAAACAACAATGACAAGCAAAGAACAACTCATGAAAATTATTGAGAACCACAGAAAAACCAATGAAAAACCAAAGAAAGAGCAACAATGGAAAACCAAAGGCAATTTTGCCAGCATTCTAAATTATTTTTTTGCAGGGACTTTTTGCCACTGTTTTTTCGAGTTTTTCATCTGTAATGGGGAAAGGAATAAGAGATAATTTTGAAAAAAAGGGAAACCTGTCTTGAGGTGTCTTGTAACTAAACCTTGTAAATATGCAGTGAAATGCAATTTTCGTTGCATATGTGGTTCAAACAGGGTTATTTTTCTCGTTGCTGTTTTTGGGGTACCTTTATGGAGGAAAACACGCTGCACGGAGAAAACTTAGCATGCCTTTTTTTCAAACCAAACATATGCATTTTGTATGGCAATACTGTGGTTTGATGCATCGACACACTGGGTCTTATAATGCTGAGCAGTTTTCCAAGGTTTTGATGTTTGAATTTAGGTTGCCGCCAAAAATCACTGAAAACCACTGAAAAAAAAACATGAAAACCAAAGAAAAACAACAGAAAAACCAAAGAAAACCAGGGACGCACAAAAACAATGATAACCAAAACACACCAAATGAACAATTATTTGGAATCAAAGAAAAAAGGAACAACACAGAAAAAACAATGAAAACCACAGTCACGAATGGAAAACCAAAAAAAGGACCAACAAAAAACAATGAAAACCAACGAAAAACAAAAGAAAAAACTGATGATAACCAAAGAAAACATAAGAAACCGACTGAAAGACAAATGAAAAGCAAGGAGAAACAAATGAAAATCAAAGAGCAAGTAATGAAAACCAATGAAAGCCAAGAGAAACAGAATGAACAATCATTGAAAACCAAGGAAATTAAAGAAACATGAACGAACGATAAAGAAAACCAAAGGAAAACCAAAGGAAAACCAAAGGAATCGTTGAAACACAAATGAAAACCAACGAAGAAAAACATGAAAACCGCAGAAAAACGACAGCAAAACCAAAGAAAACCCAAGAAAACAACAATGACAAGCAAAGAACAACTCATGAAAATTATTGAGAACCACAGAAAAACCAATGAAAAACCAAAGAAAGAGCAACAATGGAAAACCAAAGACAATTTTGCCAGCATTCTAAATTATTTTTTTGCAGGGACTTTTTGCCACTGTTTTTTTGAGTTTTTCATTTGTAATGGGGAAAGGAATAAGAGATGATTTTGAAAAAAAAGGAAACCTGTCTTGAGGTGTCTTGGAGATGAGTTTTCACTAAACCTTGTAAATATGCAGTGAAATGCAATTTTCGTTGCATATGTGGTTCAAACAGGGTTATTTTTCTCGTTGCTGTTTTTGGGGTACCTTCATCGAGGAAAACACGCTGCACGGAGAGAACTTAGCATGCCTTTTTTTCAAACCTAAAATATGCATTTTGTATGGCAATACTGTGTTTTGCATATCGGCACACTGAAACTTAGAGTATTCCCTGGCCGGCATTCTAAACTATCCTAAAAAACATGGTTTTTGGCGGCATTCTAAATTCAAAAATCAAAACGTTGGAAAACTGGTCAGCATTCTAAGTTTCAGTGTGTCGCTAAAATCCGAGATGAGGCCGGCGCAACCATGTTTGAAGTCTGATTAGCTGTTTTGATCCATGGTTCGGAGGATTTGTGTGGGAAAAAATGTTGCATCATCGTCCCAAGGTTTCGATGGGCGACCCGCTTCCTTCAAAGGAAACAATGGCAAATTGTCAGTCAAACTCATATGCAGCTTTATTTTTCACAGTGCGTGCGCCCAAGAATCCGGAGAGTTGGCAATCCTGTGTGCCAGCTTATTTTGCTTCATGAATTATAAACCCACGACCCGGAATGTTGCGTAGTTGACCGTGCCAATCTTCTCCGTCCACCCGGTGCCACCCGACCAAAACCTGCAGCATGCGATGCTGTACTGCGTTCAATTCTTGCGGCTAAAATTTTGTGAGAGGTAAGGGCACCCAGGCCATGCAGAACGCGAGGGAAACAACAGCATGGAAGAATCTATATATTCTTGGACGCCGCCCGGTAATCCATCAAAGCACCGTTTTGTTGTTCAACATGCGCCCTACTAGAAATGTGCACTGTTTCAAAAATCTTCAAATTGTCTCTGGCCAATCGGAATTTGTGCTACAGCTCGCGTAAACCCTGAAGCCGTCCACGTACCGAATGTTGGTGCACATTTGGTGTATGTTAATTCTCAAAAACATAATTCAGTTTTATAAAATGCTTTCAATTGAAGGATTGCTTTCCATTTTTGGAATGCATGTTCCAAACTGACTTTACGCTGGAGGGATCACCACCTTTCACTGGATGACGAGAGGAGGACTGCCATCAACTTTCCCAAAACATTTTATGGTGAAACAAATTCCACACAAACAATATGGTCATGTTCTACCCCTTGAGATCAAAATATTATCTTTGGTTTTGCCTATCCTAGGTCCATTGGGAAACTCAATGTCAATATCTATCAACTTCGTCGGATCCAAAGTTCCAAACATAAGAACAGTGGGCGCAAATCGCCACGGATGACATTCATTGGTTGCAAGTGGTCGGTTTGTTCGATTGCGTTTGTCAGGATTGCGTGCGAGATAAACATATATTTTTCCCCCGTCGTTGTCCACATCTTGGTTTGTGTCGTGAGGTATGACCCTCTTAATTCCCGGAAAGAATAATTGCAAAACATGTTGGTCCCAAAATCTAATTTGTGAACAAATGCTATTGTGTTTTTGCGCTCCTTCACTTCCAAACAACGAGGAAAATAGGAAAACGTCATTGCCAAAGGAAAAGTACAAATCTAAACTCCGGAGGAAACAAACTGAGCGTCCCGATGACCACGCGTCTCAAACCCAAACAAAGTTCCCCACATCGCCGCTGGGAGTCACTTCATGTGAGAAAAATAACGTCTTGTGCGATTTTTAGCCTCCAAGCATCACCTGGACAAAGTGTCAAAGCAGCCATTCCAAAGCAAACTGCGAGCCTGGACAGCATTTTGCGATTTTATCTGTTAAAAAATCACCTCACAGCAGCGCTGACAGTGGGGACCGCCCGAGCGCCAAATGATTAAAATAAAGCCGCGCCCATCGCACAAACAAAGTTCCCCACATCGCCACAAGGGGGTCACTGTTCTTGTGATGTATTGTGGTGGTGATATATTGTTGTGATGATGTATTGTTGTGGGGATGTGATGACGTCACATTCCCACTGGCCGCAATCAATTGCCGGAGCAAACCGGGATGAAGTCCACAAAGCCTTGGTGTGGGAACCATGCGTGGTGGTCGAAACAAGGACATGCTTGACTGAACCTGTGGCAAACTCCGGCTCCGGCAGCAAACAACCCTCCATGTGCACTTTCCGAACCATTTGTACGTGCATAGAGCATCACGAATGACCATCACGAATGAGCAATGCTTGATGTTTTGCAAAATCCTGGATGCACGTCACTTTCGTTTGAAAAGTGATGAGGGGTGGAGGAAGCATTGGTTTCACACAATTTCCATCTTGCAGCCATTTGCAAGGGCATTTTGGCGAGATATTTTGCGACCATTCGAAGCATCTAGATCCTTCCCGGTACCAGATATGTTTTGGTCCGGGGCATTTGTGACATATTTGTCGGTTTTTTTTGCGCCCAAACGTGCTTTGATGTTACTTCAAATTAAGTTGCTTTCCGTGAGCTTTCAACCATGCACCAAGGTTTTTGTGACATTCAACTTTGATTCAAATTGCTGTGGTGTGTTATTTCGATGTCGTGAGCCAACCGCCATGGCATACATGGAGGCACGAAAAGTTGTTTGGGGTATCTGCACTGTAGTTTAACATTCATGCTAGCTAGTGGATACCTGGCATGGGAACAGAACATAAAGCGTGGTCTGGGAACAGAGAAGTTCAGTGGCGAAGAAAACGACGGGTCAAAGAAGTGTTCAAGGCCGTTGTTCGCACTGTGACCTGCGTCAAGTGAAGGAATTCTTGGAGATCTGTGCCAGTGAGCGACGGCGGCTTCTACAGATCGCCAAGGCAAGGGTTTCAAATTTCGCTGCACTTGCCACGCGGAAGTGTTTGGGCAGCAACTCTGCCTGTGGGTTTCCGAAAGGTGTGTGTGAAATGCACCACTGGGTATTTGTCCGGGTTGAACAATGGCGAAGTAAAGACCCACCTGGATGTCGCAACCAAGAAAATAAAGCAGTGAAAACAGTTGGTCCTTGTTTTGATCATTGCTATGTAAATAAGCTGATAATCAAGCATGTTGACGCTGAAGATGATCGTTTTTTTCCAGAATGCATAGCAAGGATTCCCGTTTCACTCTGGGGGTTTGGGGGTTGAAGGTGTGTTCGCCCAACGTCGCGCGACCTTTCGCAACCATTCGCAAGCGTCCGCATGAGGGCCCTATGGCCGTGCCTATGGCGATTGTGGCAAAAGTGGTCAGCTTTCGAAGTGTCAAACGTCGCATAGCCTTGTTTCGCGTGGCAGGCGTGGCACTTTGTATTGTCCAAATGCGTTTTATGTGTGAGAGATGCAGTGCTTTTGCGTCGCTGTCAGAAGATGAGCTGCAGTTTTCGTGGCAAACGCAGCACTTTAGAGACCTCCATCGTCATTTTTTGTGGCATGTGCATCACTTCAAACGTGTTGCGTTGCGTTTCTTCTTTTTTTGCGAATCGCATTGTCAGGGCTGCGGCATCGCCGTGTCCAAGCGGGAAATTGCAAAGGAAACATTAAAAGAGAGATGTCTTGAATTAGGTTTTTTTGGGGCCAATCTAGTGAGACGCGGGTGCGCAGCAAGACAAGGCTCAATCGTTTGCCATGTGGAACAACATTACAATCGGGTGATTCACGCACGGTACAAACCAACAATATGAAACTCCTGGCAGCCCATCCGCCAGGAACAAAATGATGCTTTTGGGCGCCATGTCCAAGCAAGCTTCGCACGGCTGGCCCAGTCAAAACCTGAGCCAAATGCTGGGAATGAGGTGTCCCTGAAGAAAGAGGAATTCACTCCAGTTGAAGGCGAGGACCCGGGCGTGCATGGAGGCTTGGGTGGGGTAATTCAAAGAGAAAATTGATCGATTTTTTTTTGCAACCCAAGGGTTCCGGGGTTCTGTCACTATTTATTTTGAAAGGGAACTAAGAACAGCGCACGCATTCCAGGACCCAAAGGTTGAAACCCAACAACCGTTACTGTTGGGAATAAGCTTGGACACCAATGATTGGACGTTTTATAGTCACTAATGGACATGTGCTTCTGGCTTGTGTCCAAGACATTATGCATACATCTGGTGAGTAGCATCAATGCAGGTAGGGTGATGGACAGGGAGACTTGTTGAACTACGATCGTTTTAAACGTTGCAAATGATATCGTTCCCTGTACAGATTGCGAGGTGCGATAATGGTAAGCTTTCAGCAAGTAATTGCAAGTGATCAAGTGATCGTGGTTTTTCGTTCAGCGAGGGTTTGGCGAGGACCTTCTCAATGGTCCCAATGGCCCACAACAGTCCAAAATGGCACTTGGCTAGCCGGATTAAGGATCTCACAAGCTGAGTCGCCTGCTGAGCCCACAACGGCCAGAGCATCTTGGAAACCGAAGTGGTGGCCCTGGGGGGGGAACAATGACTTACAGTAAACATTGCACAGCATGACTTTTCAACTTGTGAATGAGTCACTTGCCTTCACCAGCATTCGATGTGAGCGATCTTTTTTCCTCTATGCATTTTACGCCCTCGTCCTTCATCATTGGCCGTGAGGCTCTTGAGTGAGAACGTGGATCCATGGCCAACATCCTTTTGGCCACTATCCACTCATACTGAACTGTAACGCAGCGGCACTGAAGGGGTATGGGCTAAGTTCTTGCAGTAAAGAATGCGGAATAGTTTTCGAAGTCCCCTGAAGTTTTGGACAGGTTTGCTGCAATTTCTTGGTAGTTCGTCGCCGTTTGTCTCACCAGGACATCACGTACCGACTGAGCACTTGAATTGTTTGGCATACCGAGGCAAGATGTGCAAACCAAAGTGGAAGAATCAACAGCGACTGTGTTTGCGGCCTCGAAGCGTGATGGCGCAAAGCATTCTACCGACAACTCTATTGGGAAAATCCAAGCGCAACAGTCATCGTCTCGTGGCCCAGAAAAAGCATTCCGAAAAATTGTTGGAAACCGTGTAGCAGCAGTTATGCGGAGTTTTGCTGACACTTTGTTTTAAACGTGAATGTTTTGCTGTTACACCCCACACAGACCCAAAGTTGCTTTAAACTTCCAATTTTTCCTGACATCAAGTCTAGTTCATTCGAGCTCTGACTGCGTTCGGCTTTTGCGAAGTCTCAGGAGCAAGAAAATCATGGAGACTGAAACCTCCAAAATTTTGAAGTCACAATCATACACGAGATCGCGCGGTATGGGAGCATGGGAGAGAGCTGCAGCTTATGTGGATTATTTGGCCGCGATTTTAGTGTTTTGACTGCACGCAATGCCGGTGGGAACTTCCCAGGGACTTGATCACCATATGCAATTTAACTTCTGAACACATGATTCACGTCCATTAAACATTAGCCGTAGCCTTTAAGTCCCAGAACAAGGGGTGGTCGCCGGAGACCTGCTAGCTTGACCAGCTTCAATTTTGATTCGGTTGCATCATGTTACACATTCAATTGCACGTGCCAGTACAAACTCAGAATGCCACGGCCAGCGAATTTGGAGTTGAGATGTGGTGAGTCTTGCAAACACGACCTGCTTGGTCACAGCCAGGTTTTGCTGAACTCAGTTGTCATGATGCCGCGAGCTCAGATACGTATGGTTTTGTGTTGTGTTCTATTGAGAACTGTACCAGACCCGGAGTGCAGGTTGGAACTGGAGTTGGAAGGTCGCGCCATTGGGCGCCAACTCAGCTTGTCTGAGGGGCCCAGTTTGGAGGCGCCCAGTAGATGTGATTTTGATGTGCATCCACAACGGAAGGGAAAAAATCACTGGGTCGTGGGGATTTCTGGCCAAACACATTGCAAACTGGCAACATTCTTTGAATGTTATTGGCTTGACCTCCCCACGTCAACTCACAAGTCCCAGACGTTTCTTTCATGTCGGGATCTTTAGTGCTGTGAGGAGCTGGAGGGTGTGTTCAAAACGCTGCACAACACCTTCGTGTTTGTGTTTCTGGGCGAGCTGATCGTTAGGACCGGTGCTGACCCTTAAACTGGTAACTGGTTTCATCAAGTTTCATCAAGTTTATCAGTTGCCAAGTTTCACATAGAGGACGGTCATCAGGGGGTTGGACTTCTTCCGTGACATTGCGCAACCTGGCCTTTGCTCCTAGTGGTCCATAGTGGTCCTAGTTCTACTTGATCCTTTTTCAGCTCACTGGGCCTTTGACAGTTCGGTGCAAGCTGCCGTAGACTAGATTTATATAGATTTGAAATTTGCAGTCCAACTGCCAACGGCCTTTCAAATCCAGTGCATAGTCTTACACCATGAAACATTTCGCCAAGTATTTTGCTGAGTGCCTCCTCGTTGCAGCCCACTCTTTTCGTCACCTTCCACACACCTTGATTGAACTGAGCAGTCGCTGCTTCCCAGGAATTGGTTCGACATCTTCCTAGTGGCTGCAGGATTGTTGGAAGCTTTTGTCCTTGGCGGAGATCCCAAGAACCTACTGATGATGCGACTAATGCGAACATTGCAACTTGGATGCGTTAACTTGGAGGCAATGATGAGACAAGCCTCTGTGGAGACGGCCATGTGAGGGGCCCCAATTTTTGCTTGCATTGCTACCAATGCTCCCGTTGCTTTACGCTTTACCAGCTTTAACCAACCTTAACCAACCTTGACCAATCTCAACTCGCCCTTCATGTAGTAAGACTTCACCATGTGAGCGCTCCTGGCCTGACACCTTCGTTAGGAAAGCGTTCCGAGCCATTCGGATGGTTCGAACCTTTCGGCTGTTCAAAGGCGCCAGTGAGAAGTCAGACCTGTTGCGCCAAGTCATATCGCGCGTTTTGATCTTAGGGTCGCCTCATCAGACGAGAAATGAGATACAGGGTCTCAACTCTGACTTCGTAGCGATGATATTAACTTTGGAGTTTCCGATCAGCGATTTGAAATTAGCCCAGACCCTTTCAAGATTGGCAGCCGTCAAGCTTCGCAAGAGGTCTACAGCTCTTGGTGAAGGCATGCACTTGCTTTCTGCCTTCACTTGGCTGGTCGATGGTACTATTGGGTGTTTTCATGCAACTTGGCGATGGTGTGGCCCCCATGGCTCACATGCGGCGAAGATGGACACACTGAAGCTACCACCTTGGCCACCCTGGGAGCCCCCAGGCCCAGTCACTGAAACGAAACTTCACTCTTGCTCACACCCTTGCTCAGGTCGATCGGCACTTTGGTCCTTGGCAACTTGCTACAGGATTTCATCGTAGATGATTCACAGAACCTGGAAGATCGCCATTGGATTTGGAATCGTTATGGTACAGCCTATCGGGTGACTCGGTGAAAGGCATGACATGGATGGAATGATCATTGCATCTAAGTGAATCTAAATTTGTCATGGTTCCAGATTGTCATCGTGCTGGGGTTCTTTGCCTCCTTTGGTCTCCAACGCACGAGGGCAGTTTGTTCGTCTGCGAATATAGCCAAGCAGGGGCTTTTTGCTCTATCTATTCTGAAGGGTGGGCTGGACAACACACCACGGAGAGTTCTTTCTCAAAGATCTCAAAGAAGTGGTAAAATCTTCTGTTGTATAGTCACCTTGTAGCCCCAGGCAATGTACACACTCTACGAGACTCTTGGCTTGTCCCAGCATGTCTTGGAATGACAATGTCACATTCGGCACAGTTTAGGCTTTTGACAAGGTTGTTGAAAGGCAAAACAAGGTCCCAAGGTCCCAAGGTCTTGTTTGGCTGGCTTTGAGCTGACATTGTGTTTGCATTGTTCCTTTGGCTAGTGTGCTCCACCATGCTCGGTTCACGATGTGCCAGCACTGAGGATCACATTTGCAGGTGGGCTTGGGCCAAAGGATATTCACCCTTATTCCAATTATTCAACCCTTGGGCATTCCGCCGGCCCTCTCGCCTTTGGCCTACAGGCCCAAAGCAGGGGTTGTGTAAAGCTGGTTGGTGCAAAGGTGGTTTGTGTAAAAGCTGGTTGGTCGAAAAGTTGGTTTGCGTAGAAGCTGGTGTGTGTAAAAGCCCGTTTGTGTAAGTTAGAGGTGGTTGGTGTAAAAGGTGTTTGTGGAAAAACGGGTTTATGTAAAAGCGGGTTTGTGTAAAAGCTGGTTGGTGTAAAAGCGGGTTTCTGCAAAAGTGCTTGATGTAAAAGAGTGTTTGTGTAAAAGCTGGCTGGTGTAAACGTTGGTTGTGCAGAAGCTGGTGTGTGTAAGACCATTGAACGAAGTGGGTGGGGTAGATGCAAGCGGCATGGCTATGAGGGTGCATGCGGAGAAGGCAGTGAGTGCAGAGGAAGAGCAGCAGTGGCAGGTGCTTATGGAAAGTGTTGGGCGCAAAAGCGGCAGGTTAGAACGTACTTCTGCTTCAAAAGGGCACCGTGGAGAAAACGTGGAAAAATGCCGCATCCCAGGGGCGAGAACGGCCGTAAAACGTGGAGAAAACGTGGAAAAATGCCGCATCCCAGGGGTGAGCCGGAGGAACGAAAGAGAAGACGGACATGGGAGGATGACGGAGCATGAAGGAGGAGAACAGAAGCAGAAGAAGCAGCAGCAGAAGAAGAAGAAGACGAAGAAGAAAAATAAGAATATCATGATGATGATGATGATGATGAGGATGATGATGATGATGATGATGATGATGATGATGACGATGACGATGATTGCAGAGACGATGATGATGTAAACGAGGCCAATGCATGTCAATGCTAGTTCGCTTGAGAAAAGATACGAGACTAGACCAGACGAGACTAGATTATAGTGTACAGGCACGGGCACAAGCTTTAGCTAGCCTCCGTTCGCAAGCCCGTGTATTTTCCGGAATGTCCTATCAGGATTCTTTCTCTGCCATGTCAGCCCCGCGCACAATTTAAGCAGCACCCATATTCTACTTGCACAACCTTTTGGGGACCACTTTTGCACTACACACCAACTCCTGCTTGTTGCTCTGGCTACATTTTTCTACATCGTTATTTTCTCCAATCACTATTTTCTGGATTTGTCGTATTCAACTCCTTCCTCAAGGCTGTGGTTCCACTCTCTTCTTTTGCTGGAACCAGTGCCAATTCAACCATCTCTTGCTTGGTCTCATTGTGTCTCGTTTCGTTTGCATTATTCTCCTGCTTGCAAGTCCAGCCAATTTTCCACTTCATCGACATTTTCTCCATGCACATTTTTCTGAGTTTTTCACATTTCACTCCAAGATGAAGACAAAGGGGGAGGTCTTCCACATCAAGTCCTACTTTTCACCCTCTTCTTTTGCTGGAATGTGCACTCATCGTCATGCTGTACTGAAGGGGCCGTGGCAATTTACATTTCCTGTTCTCGCGGGACTGAAAGTCCCTGTTTATAAAGTGAAATTTGTTATAAGGACATTTTTGCCTGGAGGTAACTACCACCAGGAACCTGTTATCATCAGCTCCGACCACACCATGCCACATCACAGGTGGCGAATTTCTATTAAGCTCTCCCCACTTCAATTTTAGGGGCCGAGACAAAATTTTCCTTGTAGCCACATCAACTACCTTGCAGCTCAAGCTCGCAGGGGCCGCCAGAGGCGTGCCGGGAGACCACGGTCACTCCATCGTTGTTATTTTCTCCCTTCCTAGTTCTACTCTCCAAAGCGTGAGACAAGTGGTCACGAACCCTGCTGTGCGTCACGGGACCGACCTCCTTAAATATATTTCTTCTTTGTGATTATTGTTTCTCCGCCGTTTCGTTGGTTCTGGGGCCCACCTACACAAAACCATCGGGTCCTGTGTTATAGGTGCTGGTTAGTAGCTTATCCTGCAGCCACAGATTCTCCTGTTCTTTTCTCTTTTTCTTTCTTTCCATCTTGTTTCTCCATTCGGCTGACGGAAAGCTGCTGCTGACGTGTAGTTCGACATGAACTGCATATCGCTGCGGAAAAAAATGTGGAGGGGGGGCGCCAGGGCAGCGAAAGCAGAAAAACTGTAGAAGGAGATTTGGCATTTCAAAGCAAAAACCCGTAGAAGAAGCAATCTCTAGGCTCTAGGTGAAGCTAAAGCTATCGCAAGATGTAGCGGAAGAACATCCACAAAACACGCCGGCAGGCCGGCGGATTTTCTTGATCCATTTGAATCATGTGCTGCCGGCGTTAGATTTTGGCGGAGCAAGGCAATTGGCCTACAAATGCTGGGGCCTCAGCCGGACGGATCTGACCGGTCAAAATATATAACATTTTGCGGAAAACATGCAGAAACAGTGTTCCAATGTTCCAAAATCAGAGAAGGTGGGAAAACAATAAAAAACAATCATATCAAGTTTGGAAGAGTTGTGGCGGCCTGTTGGGAACAAACCTTCTACGTACCAGTACTGCAGAGCTTTGGGTGCATGCCTTTACTGCAAGATTCGACAAAACTTCATTTTGTAAACCTCTTTGACCGACTTCACTCCATAGTTCATTAGCTGATCATTAGCTCAAACAGAGCATTGCGAAGCAGAACCGAACCGGAACTGGAACAGAACAGGTTTGGACCAGAACTTCAGATGACGCTTTAGATGAGTTTTCCAGTCTGCTCGTAACCCAATGGGGAAACATGTGATCAGAACCTAAATTAATTTGCTCTCAGACATATTCGATGCTTGCGGGTGCTTGTGTTGTTTCTGGTGAATCCGATTGGATCCAAGTGGCATGTAGAACCACATGGACCTCTTGAACCCATGGCGCATCTTGCAAAATCGAACCAACACACTCCTTCTCATATTCTTCAAAACCAAAATGGATTTAATCGGTTTGTCGGGGGAAGCGGTATACTGTTATTGCATGTGTTAATCATCATAGAATCATTTAGAACTAATTCCAGTCCTAGCACGCAACTAGTTAACTGCAGGATTTAGGAAATGGTTCTTCAGACAAGCCCCGCTTGGTGGCTGAAGTGGCTCGTCAATTTGCTTCACTAAGGCCCGCCCTGTTTTAGAGAAAGTGAGCCAAGGATTTGTGATTTTCTTTGTCTCGCATCTTGGCGCAACGTCTCTGTCATACACAATTGATGTCAAACGGATGTGAGCGCCTGCTGCTTGCTGTCTTAGCAGAATGCCAGCAAACTTGTCCGACATCTCAGACAGCCATTTGTGGGGCGTCAGCGCTTCAACTCCGTGCAAGGTACGTTACGATCATCGTTTTTGCCATTATAAGAGCAGCTGGGTTGCGCATGTAGTGAGAGAGAGAGAGAGAGAGAGCCGGGCGGTGGGGAGAGAGTGTCGATTCTCATTTTTTTCTTTTTTTGGGTGCGTGTGTGGATGTGCCGGACATGTGTAGTGTTTTTGCCTTCAAGCTCGCGTTCTTTCACACCAATGATGAGGTAATATCAGCGATATTTTTGAAGGTTTGGTGGGAGCTGCTGTGATGGGACAGCTTGACAGCAAGAGGTGGTCTTGGATCTTAAAGCCAGAAGGTTTGAAGTCTACAAGAGAGAACCACGGGTCAAATCAAGGTTCAAGGCAGCTTGATTTGGGAGCCTGTTGTGCCAGAGAACTCCACTGATAGTTTCTTGACCATCTCGTCTGCGCTTAATTTGATTGCAAAGTTTTTTTTGGGGCTGCCTGTGATGCAGGACACCTTGGATGCCGCACAGGCCGACGCTGAAAGCGTTGTGGTTGATAGGCTCAGTTCCTTGCTTTCGACTTTGGACCTGGCAGTTAATTTCTGGACAATTGCAGCAATGGCAGATTTCAATTGTTTTTTCCATGTCTTCTCGTCTTGTACGGGCAACATGTATGTGTCATCCAGCAGATCTCGACAAAGCCAAGGAAAGAAGGCTGATTATTTGCAAAAACTTGAAGTCCTCTTCCGTGCCCTGGACGAGGAGATCAGCCCCAGGGAAAAAGTCACAAAATGTGTCCTGACTCCTCTGACTGCGCATTCCCTGTGCATGAGCCTGGCCGCTTGCAGGAGGGAGACGGGACAATTTCAGAAGAGAAACTCATCACCCTCTTTGAAAATCCAAAGGTGGCCGGGGGCCAGGGCTGAGCTTGATGCAAATGTGCCCAAGGGAATTGCATTCTTGAACATTTCAAAAGTGGTTCCTTTGGATGCAGGTGAGTGTGAGGAGCTTGGTGAATAGCTATTCCACGCAAACCAGTGGCGATTTTGCATGTGGGTTATCGATTGGAATAACCTTCGTATGTTATTCCACTGTAAAGTGAGGGTTGTGGGGTCGAGTAAGTTTATGTATGATCAGCTTTTGGCTATAGATAGTTTTTTGGTCACGATTTTGGCACTAGAATCGGACTTTATGGAGAAAAGGCCTGTGGATCTAATGGGGGACAAAAAAAAATCCCCAAAATGAGTGTCACACTATTGCCGCGCTATACTTGGTTGGTTGTCGCTGGAATTAGATTCTTGTTGTGGGGTCCTGAGGGTTCAACACAAGCTTGGGATCATGTCGATCAGTCTTGTGTCACGGTCATTCCGTCCATATTGGCCAAGGGAAATTTAGCAGGCAAACTTCCGAGTTACAGACGATTGTCATGGTGAGCATTCCCACCATCATGTCAGCCACACCATCATGTCAACCACATCATCATGTCGACTACATCATCATGTCAACCACCCATCATCAAGTAGTTCGGACGTGTAACAGCTCGGATGCGTGTGAATTCACCGGTGAAAACACCCTCAGGCGCGAAACTTTGCTTTTTTTCGGGTAATGTGGCTCCTGGGCTCGCTGAAGTAGGGCCTCTGTTTCTGAGAGCGCGGGCTCGGAGAAGCTCGATTTTGGGCCAAAAATTGCTTCTCGCTGCAGGCGCTAAACGCATCGTAACAGCTGCCCGGAATTCATCTTATTGGGTTGCAGAAGCTACAAAAGAGCTAGCTGGGAGGCAGCACAGAGCAGAAGTAGCCCGGATAAGTGGCTGCTCAGAGGCGAAGTAGCTGAGAGGAGGGTGTCTCAGCGAAGAGGTCGCTCAGTGAAGAAGTAGCTTAGCAAAGAGAAGTAGCTCGCCCAGCCATCCATCCCTTCATTCATTGGTTCGTTGACTCATTGATTCATGGATTCATGGATTCATTGGTTCAGTGGTTCATTGATTCATTGACTCACTGAATCGGTCATTCATTGCTTTGTTGATTCATTGATTCATCGACGCATTCATTCATTCGTTCGTTCGTTCGTTCGTTCCTTCATTCATTCAGTCAGTCAGTCAGTGATTGATTCATGGATTCATGGATTCATCGGCTCTTCACTCGTGCGTTGATTCATTCAGTCATTGCTTCACTGAATCACCGGTTTATTGAGCCATTGGTTCACTGAATCATCGTTTCATCGATTCGTGGGTTCATTGCTGCATTGATTCACAGAATCATTGCTGATTCATTGATTCATCTGCTCACTACTTCATTCAGTGATGCACTGGTTCACTGATTCAGTGATTTATCAGCTCACTAAATATTCTTGCATTGATTCACTGAATCATCGATTCATTGGTTTGCTGATATATTGAATCATCCATTCATTGATTCATTGATTTACTGAATCATCGATCCATTGATTCGCTGAATCATTCTGAATCATCGGTTCGTTGGTTCATCGATTCAATAAAGTCATGGAATCATTGATTTATTGATTCCTCGGCACACGAGTTCACTTTCTCATTGATTCATTGTCACTTCATTCGCATCTCAACCACCATTTGCTCATTCGTTGTTGCCCCTTGCACCTTCAGCCGTTCATTGATTCTGCATCGCAAAAACTTTAGGCCATTGGTTTCCTATAGCCATTTCCTATTTTCGAAACTGCCCCCTCTGCGCGTGCCGGGCACTATCTGGTATAAACAGAACGTTTCAAAATGAATCAGAACAATAGAGCAGGGAACCCAGGTCGACAGCTGAGCCCAGCCCAGTGGCCGGAAGAGAGCCGCAGGACCTGTCTCTTTTCAGCTACTGGTGAAGCGCCTGTCCGACATTGTGTCCTCCCACAACAATGTTTCTATTCAGCGTGCTGCTTGCTCTTCAGCCACCTCTTCTTCCTGCCCTTTCTTTGTTTCAGCGGCCTCTTTGTGAAACTGCCTCTCCTTCCATTCTTTTAGGGCTGCTGCGCGCTGTTTGGATCTATCCCTCTGTAAAATTTCTCTTTTGAGACGCATTTTCTTTGAAGTACCGCTCTCTGTAGCCACCTCTTCTGGGGCTGGCTCCTTCCTTTTTCCATCTCTTTCTCTGCATCCTTCGTCTTTGAGCTACTTTGTGTTCCACCTACAGGCGCGGGCTTGTTTCATGAATCCGTAACTCGGAATTCCCCATGTCCTTTAACTATGTCATGGGCCTACTTAGCGGGATGCTGTAGAAATTGTTCATCTTCTCGGGAGAACCCCCTTCTAGTTTCGTAGAAGCAGACAGTATGAAGCTAAGATTTTTTAAGCCAAATTCTCCCATGCATGGCACCTGTTGGAAGGTGGAAGCGTATTTCCAGACTTTGGATGTGGACGTCACAGAGGGTGCAGCACTGTTTAACATGTTGGATGATGGCGATGGCCAGGTTGGATTAGCAGTAAGGGCATGGGTCTGCTATCATGTCCGAATTTTGATTTTTGGTCGTCCATCTTTTTGCTTAATATGAATGAAGAGACGCTTTTCCCTTGAAATCTTGGGGGTGGGATGTGCCAAATTGGGTTCTGACAGTTTAGGAAATTTGAGCCTAGACCAAATTACATGCACTTGGCAACCGAAGAGACCATAATTTCTGCCGACGTGATTTTTTCTTTTCCTATGTGGATCTCTTCCGTGCAGCTGTGTGGCTGGTGTCATTGTCTATGCTGCTGCGCTTTCAGGTAACTTTGGATGAATTTGTAGATGGCATTTTAAGATGTCGGGGCCCAGCGACTTGGACAGGGTTTTGGATTCGAAGCTTTCCCCGATTTCAAAAGAATTGCTGCCAACTTCAACTTTCACACCAACTACTTTTACATCCTCCTCCTCCTCATCATCATCATCACCATCATCATCATCTCCCACATCCACCAGAATCACCTGCATCACTTACATCATCTACATTATCAACATCTCCTACATCCCCTAGAAAATCTTCTACTTCCTCTACATCATCTACTCAGGCGTGGACATGTAGCTGATCAATTTCTAGAAGCTCGCCTACAACCTCGAGCATTTTTTTTCTTATGGTGGCAGGAGTACTGTAGCCCGATGACGTCCATCGAAAACGATCCTTTGCAGAGATTCTGCCTGTCAGACGTCCAAATGTGCGGCAAAACTTCGATTCAGGCTTGGCTGCGAGCAACCCCATAGGGATGCTTGCCGTGTCTGGCGTCCAAACTTGTGGTGGCATGCGAATTTTGTCGGGGCATGCAAACCTTGTGCAGAGATCGAGGGTGTCAGACGCCCACTGCGAATTATGTTTGTCCTTGGAAGCCCTCTGTGGAGATCGCGCGTCGGACGTCCAAACGCACGGTGAGATGCGAATTTGGATTTGGTGGTGCCCACCCCAGAGATTGTGCATGTCGGGCACCCAAACGTGTGGCGCAAGCCTCCCGAGCAACCCTCTGCAGGGATCCTGCATGTCGGACGGCCAAAACATGTGGGGTGACAGGGTGACATGCAAATTTTCAGGTGTAGAGGTGTCTATGCGCAAAAGTTTCCGTGTAAAAAATTACGCCTGTAAAAGCGCTCTGTGTAAAGGCTTCTCTGCGCATTTTTTTTTCTCTCTCTCTCTCTGGTTCTCTCTGTGAAGGCTTCTCTGTGCAAAAGCTTCTGTAAAAGTTTCTGTGTTTGTACAGGCTTAACTTCTCTTTATTTCTCTGTGTGCTGGCTTCTGTCTAAAAGCTTCTGTGTGCAGAAGCGTCTGTGCAAAAGTTTCTGCGTGTAAGCGCTTCTGTGTGAAAAAAACTATTGTATGTGAAGGAGTCTGGGTGTAAAACTTGTGTGTGCAAGAGCCTCCGTCTCCGTGCGCAAAAGTTTCTGTGTGTAAGAGTTCTGTGTGTAAAAATTTCTGTGTGTAAAAGCGTCTGTGTCTAAAAGGTGCTTTGTGTAAAGGCGTTTGTGTGTAAAACTTCTCTGTGCAAAAGCTTCTGTGTGAAAAAGCTTCTGTGTGTAAAATCTTGGGTGCCTAGAGGTTTCTCTGTGTAAAGGCTTCCCTGTGTAAAAGCGTCTGTGTGTAAGGGTTTCTCTGTGTAATGGCTTCTTTGTGTAAAAACCTCTGTGTGTAAAAACTTTTCTGTGTAAAGACTTCTGTGTGTAAGTGTGAGGATTTCTGTGTGTAAGTGCCTCTGTGTGTAAAAAAATCTGTGTGTAAATGTGTTTGTGTGTGAAATGTATCCAGCTGTGCATGTACGATATTTCATCTACATCAGTCATTATTCGTCATACGCTTCATCTATCTTCATGATCATCATCATGGTCATGATAATGATCAATTCATGATGATGTTGATGATGATGATCATCATCATTTTCATCGCCAACAATATCATTCATACATCATCATGCATCATCATATTTCTTTTGCGCCATCTTATCGTTTTTCCCTCCTGCATTGTTTCGGGCCATGCTATGGTTTACTTTGGTAGTGCATATGCTGCAACCCTTTTCGTTCGTGGGGTCGCGTCGCTGGCAATAAAAACTTGATGTCAAAGATGCATGTAAAAGCGGGCTCTTGTTCTGTTTACGTTGGTATGGAGTGACTGTGTGCCATGTGCTGTTGTCTGACTTCCATGTCGCCCGAACACTCAGGCGCGGGCATTGGACCAAGTGGCAATGCGTCGCTGGGAGGAAACTAAGAAAATGAATGGTGACAAAATTGTTTAACCAAAACTTGGTGTCAGCCTGCAATGATCGCGCAATATTTTTAACAAACCATGTCGGGAAAAAAAACCGACGTGCTCATAGCCGCAGCCCTCCAACATTTTTCAGGTGCTGACTTGAAGAACTTGGATGTGAAGGTCAATGCCTTGGTGCACTTTCTAGGCGCCTTGTGAAGTGTTGGGAATGGGTCTTGGGGCAATGTGTTTTTCATTGGCCAAAAAATTTTTGACTGGAGATGCGGCCATCCTTGATTGAGGCGCAAAAGTGCAGAAACATTGAATCGCTGATGGCGGCTGCCAACTGCTGGTGTGTCAAGGTGGGTCTGCTGCAAAACCCGCCTCATTTGATAAACCAGTCCTTCTACTGTGCAAACTCAGGTGCCATTGGCATTGCAGCTGTGGGTCACCATTAAAGGTGCTTGATCAGAGATCAATCCTGCCATGAACGATTGGCGCGTGTGGATGCCCGGGGATGTTTAAAGATCGTGTTGAATACCTTGAAATTCAAAGATTGATTTACCTCAGGGGCTGTAGCACACCAGAGGCCATAAATTTCGAGTTTTGATGCATTTTTTTTTCCATAACATCGACTGGGGCATCCAGAGGGGACTTGGAATGACGGCGCTGACACAGAAGAGTTTAAAATTTAAAGTGTTTCTTTCTTTGTCGTGCGGGAGGTGCCTCCAGCTTTCTTATTAGCGGCCAAGTCATTTCATTTGATGCCGCTTCAGCTGGTGCTTCTCAACCTTAGCGTGGCTGTCCAAATCGTGTGTCACTTTGCGCGTTTGTAAGTGCGGTTCAGGGATTTGCTAGTGTTTTCCAATTGTTCAAATACTTGCCAATTTGGAAGGCCCTTAGTTTCACTCCTTTGAAATTGCCCCCTTTGAAATTGTCCAGGCGACAGTAGGGCAGGATTTCCCTGACTGCAAGGCGAAGGGAATCTGGTTGCTTTATTGAGAGAATTTGTTGATTGTTGTTTTCCCCTTGAGCGGCCAGAAAGAACGACCTTTGCAGTGGTCCAGTCTAGCTGGCCTCGGCCAGCCCCCCTGCGGGCCAAAGTGCACATGTCCCAGTAACTATCTCACCCCATAGTTCTTCAAGGCACTTTTTCATGAAAACAGAAATTGTGTCAAAAAAGTCCAACTATAGCGGTGAAACTGGGAACTACCGTAAATCCCATCCCTGGGTGGAGCTTTCAGCCGAAGCAGCCCCCCTGGCAGAAGCCATGTGGAGGGCTGTCTTGGCGACACGAGCTGCTGGTAAAGCAAAACGTGGTGCTGGGATGTGTTGGCTGTGGTGTCTGTGTGTAAGGCGCTTGCTTAGTGTGTGCTTTCTAAGTCAAGGGCACGCGGAGCCAACAAGAATCTCACTTCACATGCTCGTAATGCGATCTTCAGTCCTGCAATCCAATGCTCATGAGATGCCAGTGCATGGGTGCATGGCGCGAATTTCAGGTTGTGAGAGTATCCAATTGACGTCCAACTCGTTGGAAATTGCTATGCACGATCACGTTAACATGCAACAGGTATGCAGCATGCACGAATAAAATATTGGAATGAAACGGGGGGAATTTAAATGAAATCACTAAACAAGTTGGAAGCAACTGATCCCGGCATGATGTGATTCGTGCAAAGTTGATGTGCTAGGCAGCAGTTCTGGGTTCAAAGCTGAACTTTGGCCGGGCCATCATGAAGCGAGTCGGTTTCATGTGGCTTTTTGCAGTCTCACCCTCATATATATAATTTGACAACTTCCTTACTTCCTTGAGCTGTAGACGATGTATATTCCAAGCTACCTGAGTAGAAAGTTATGACGGTCACAGAAACAAGCTCGAGTTGTCCATGCTCTGGGGTACGAACCCCAAAATGCTACAGCCAATTTATTTTAATTCTGAACTCATACACTTCGCAAAACAGGATTCATGTTGACACCACATGACATTGCTGACGGAGCCTCCTTGGGTCACCGGAGCCTCGCAGTCGGGTGCCGCCCCTAGTGAACAAGAGGCAACAATGGAGTCCAATGGAGGTTTTCCATTGAACGTTGCATCACTTGAGGCCGAGTGTGCCCAGAGCACTAAGAGCGTCAAGGCTTCGGACGCTTCGGGCGCTTCGGACGCTTCGGACTTCGAAGTGGCGGTGCATGGCGACAGCAACGCTGATAGCGCCACTGGCTGGTGCCATGCATTGCTTGCAGACACGGGCTCGGTCTGGGGCCTGGCGAGCCCGATGCACCCGATGCACCCGATGCATGTGCCATGCCACGGCTTCAGAATCTGTCAACATCCAGGCACCGCATCCTGGTTGAAGAATCTCTCACACTACAAGTTTTCTATGGTCTTTGTGGCTTATACTCATGCTGCTTACTGTAGTGTGTGGATTGGTGGATGTTTGAAACTAAGGGCAGAAAGAGATCGTTTCAGGGTGATGTCGTCGTGACAAAGTAAAAAAGTCACCGCATAGCGCCAAGGAATCTGCTGAGAGTGGTAAGGAGTTCGGCTGGAGGTGACCGACTCCGAGTTTACCCCAGCCTCGCCATGGGAGAAGAAACTTGGCCGCAAAATGGATGCCCTTTTTGCATCGTTTTGCTGCAAAAATCTCAAGATTCTTGGCTGTTCTATTGTGCTTTTGGTGGTTTGCAACTTGGGTGAATTGCTGAGTCTCTGCCCTTCCATCAGCTGGTGCTTCGAAGTTCGAAATCAAGATTCATTCAGGTGTCCCCAAACTTTCGAACTTTTCCATCCACACATAGCTCCAATTTAAGTGATTCCTGGGGAGATGTGCAGGACAGGTCCGGAGGTGCCCAAGCACCTTGCATCTTCGTACATGCAGGCTGATTCATGCAGGATGCCATGATTCGGGCCGATTTGGTCAGTGTCATCATGGATTTTGACAAATTTTGACTTGCTGCTTTTGAAGGCATCAACTCGTCGATGAAACAAACAGAACTCGTGCAACGCCAGGCTCCAGCCCTTCTGAGAGACGCTGGCTTGGAGTGGGGGGATCATTCACTGAGGCTGTCGGTGCGGATTCCCTTTGGCTTTGCTTTCCGATAAACTGGAGATTACTGGGGGATTTTTACACTCCAAGTTTCCAATGCCCCAGGCGTCAGCTGTTACTTGGAAGAAGCTTTCGCCCAGTTTCTTGGCACAAGAGCATAATTACTCACCGACGGTCTGGAAGACTTGCCAGCTGTTTGTATTGTGTGTCAAGTTTGCGCAAGCATTTGGACCAGCAGCCACCTCTGGCATTAGAAAATTAATCGCATGTCCTGAAACAACGCCAACTTGTGGAGACAGCCAATGGCTTTACCCAGAAGGGCTTTGATTGTTTGCTGAGGAATGCAGGAGGAGATCATCACTGCGTATTTTCATCCAACTCGTGGCCTTCGTTACAACTTGGGAAGCTCGCGCGTTTGTGGAACTGGTGGCGGCCAGAATGGGTAGATAGCTGCAGATTCCAGTGATAAACGTCTGGGATGGCAAGACCTGCAATGGGGTCACCCAAATCCTTGGATATTGCTACATGGTGGAGATGCGGCCATGCTGCAAAGAAACGGAAACGTTTAGTTTATGTTAATGTCCATATGTCGCACAAGCACACCACGAAGAAACCACTCCTCCCTCCAGGGCTGCAGTGCAGGACATGTATATATATATTATATAACATACACATAGTTATTTAGTAGACATGCAATCGGCGATTGGGGTGTCCCTGTGAAACAGCTGGCACTGAGGGCCGTGTTCTTCATTGCTGTTGTGTTGTATGGTTGTGAGTGCAGCAGTTCCATCACAACTTGATGGAAGCTGAGGAAGGGTACCCATTGGATCCTGTGACTTCTCTTTGTACAACTGGAGTTGTGGGGAGATCGCCGAAGGCATGCGCGATCACAATGCTCCGCAATGACAATTTGAGGCTAGAGGCTCACTCCAGGACTTGTGAAATGGAAGGCAAGTAGCATCTCACGTTTGTTTGTCTTGTGTTTTCGATGGACTTGACTGACACCCGTCACTATTTCTCCTCAGCAGTCGATAGCAGGCGACTGGGACTTGAAGGGCTTCAGCATCAAGCGGTATGAGGACGGTGCGCCTTTGCACCCGCCAAGAAAGTTTGTTGCGATGTCTGGAATTTGAAACTTCTAATTTGAGCAAAGGGGATCCATGGCAGAAACCTACAGATGTTTGACGTCAATTTGCTGGGGCTGCAGTGGAACAATCCCATCATGTCTTTCGGATTCTTTGATCTTGACGACCTTGCTTGCCCCATGCTTTTTCTCCCCCCCGCCCCTCTCTCTCTCTCTCTTTTTCTCTTTGACATTGGTATGTTTTGGTGTTGTGTTTTTTAGAGGAAGCCATCCTGCCAATGCTTCGGGCTGCGTCGAAACATGTGAAGCTTGCCCTGATGGTGCTGCTGGCCATTTTGATGTCTGTTCATGTGCTGCCAGAACACCAGACATCACTGTAGGATCTCAGCACTCTCCATGAAGCAAACCTGTCGTGGCAGAACTGTCCATCAGCCGACTGCAGGCAAGTCCTTGGAGCCCACCTCCATGGATGAAAACCGTGAAGAGTTTCCACGGTGAAGGCAGCGGCCTGCGCGATGCAGTTTCATCAAGAGGTCTAAGAATTCCAACATAAACCAACATTCCACAGGAATGGCCCAGCCCGAAAGTAGGTCATTTGCGAGCTGACTGCTGGGTGGCTCAAGATTCACAGAGATGTTAGTGGGCAAAGTCAAAGTGGCTGGAAGGCATGTCCACATTGATTGCGTCTCAGCTTGTCCCACTTATTTCATTGCAAGCGATTCTGCACACAAACGAAAAGGTAGGTTCATGAAACACATTTGATCCAGGAAGAATTACATGGGACTGTGGCTTGAGGCAAGCGCCATGGAAGTAAGTAGCCAATCAGGAGGTGCGGGCGCCAGCTGAAAACTTGCTGAGGCAGAGAGGTGTGGGCGAAGCACTTCGTGCGATTTGTGGAGGTCCCATTGGACTGCGAGTTGCAGGGGCTTTCGATGGATACCTGCTGGAAATTGACTCAATTGACACTGCGGGGTTTTCAGTTCCTATATACAGTCTATTTATATATTATTTACATGTATGTATGTATATATATATATATTGTATGCTTTATTCTTAGGGTTTTGCTTTACAGAGGCGTCTTGCGGTTCAAGAAGTAAGTTAGTCCAACAAAGTAGATACAACGAGTATGAAGTGATGACTCGTTCCGTGGGGATTGCTTGACAATCTTCCCTGTGGAGCCTCAACCTGCCATAGTCCGAAGATGATCACCCCTCTAGCAGAGGCGATGAAAGGCGCAGGGGTTCCGATTTGGGCTGCATCTCAGCTGAATGGTAGGAGGGAGTCACACAGATGTTGAGTTGATGGGCCGGGCTGAGAATTTGGGTAGCCAAGACCAAGAGCGTGGAGGAGTTCCCAATCCCAAGAAGTTCAGATTCAGACCTCGGGCTTCTTCTTGGTGGCTGGTGATGCCCACGGTTGTAAGTAGGAACAGGAAGGGCATGTCCATGATAGAACCACTGTGCGGTTTCCGTCTCGAATTTCGGGCAGGTTTGATCACCTGATTTGCACGGCTTTAATTCCTGTCACAGACAGATCGCACTATTATTCTATTATTCATTAGTCGTTTTTGTTTTTAAATTGCACATGTCACATGCATATGTCTTCATTATCATATTTTTACTCAAATTCTCGCTCTGCTTGAGGTCTCGGTGCAAAATGAGCCAGAAGCAGCTCAATGCTGGGAGTCAGCTGGCTGGTCAATTAAGATTTCTCAGGTTGCAAGATATCTCAGTATGTGCGAATAGCACCCTCGCATACCCTTGCAATGATTGCCTTCAGCGTATTTTGTCAAGAGTTTCTTCATTCAGATGCTACTCAACTGCATTGTCTTCAAATGATGATTTGTTTGACTGCTTGCTACTGAATGCTCTTGGCACATTTTCGTGCAGGCACTTGATTCACTTGCTGCGATGGCCCAAGCTTGGCAATTCATAGGGACACCTGTCTGGATGGATCGGATGGATATGGCCAAGTCCAGAATCACATGGTCAGAATGGCTGAATTGGCTCGATGAGAGGCACATGGTCAGAGAGCGAGCAACTGGCACTAGCCCAAGACATTGCAGAAGAGGTCCGTCGCCATGGAGGTCAACTTCAAGCCAACCATTTGCCGGCCATCCGTCCTGACTTCCGGAAACGTCTAGGTGATGAAAAGCTGTTGCAGTTCATCAGTCGATTCCCCAGCCTCTTGCAAACCCAAGCTCGGCACAATGGGCACGTGCTAAGCCTTGCGGATGCACCGCTTCGGCCTTCGTTTGAAAAACATCTCCTGGGCTGCGCACCTGTGGGTGCCACATGTCCTGGTCGTGGTCTTGGTGAACGCGCCATACACGCCCTGAGGCAGCTGGACAGGGAACTGTTTCGTTGTGCATTGCGGGAGCCGCCACAGACTGTGGATGTGGCTTACTTACTGCACAATGGCAAGGTGCGACGGAAGATTGGGGCTGTGGTGAGGTTTCTGCCATTGATGGAATTGATCATGCAAGAATCAGAAGGGCCAGAAGAAGCAACTGAACCAGGAAAAGGATGCCCGCTGTCTGCACATGCCCGCACATATGCAGGGTATTTATTGCAATTTCTGCGTGACCGGCCAGAAAAGTTTCAGTTGGAAAGGGGAGGACGAACTTTGGCTGGAAATCAGGATAGCGTAACTTTTTGCATGCCTGGAAAGTCTTCGAAATTATCCTTTCTTCATCCAAGTCTGTAGCTGCTAGCCAACTGCAGGCCTTATGTTCAACAGTACCTACGGTAGTACCCATGGGTCACTATCTGATAGCGGAGTTGGTGCTGGTAGGTACATCCGATGCCTTACAGTTCTCTGCCCAACCCAAGGGTGTCTTTGCTTGCTGGTCTGAGGACGAGATTCTACCTCTTGTGCCAATGGAGATCCAATGTGCTCTTGTCATTTTCAAGTCCTTGTTCTTCCCAGAGGTCTGCCGGCCTTCCGGACAGGATTCAGGGGACCAGGTTTCAGCATGGAGCAATACCAACTGAGTGACAACTGTGGAAGCCCGGCCAGAACATAACCACGACACACCACGACTCCCGTCATTGTCATGGCTTTTTCTGATCAGATTTTTTTTCAAACAAAATAGGGCTGTTCCATTGAAACATTTTGTAAATGTAAACAGGCCATTGTGGTCCAAGGTGAAGCTTCACCCCAGAATGCTCAGAAGTTGGTGTGTTGAAATGTAGTCACCACCGTGGTGCAACTGTTTCCCTGAGATGGAATCGACGATGATGAAGATGATGAGGCTGGATAGTGCTACTGCGGTTTCACATTCCAATGCTCAATGGAGACTGCACTGCGAATAGTTTCCTGTGTCAGTGCGTACTGATGGGTGTGTAGCGATTGAATGCACAAAGTAACCTATACTTGCGTACACACGTGATAGTTGTTCAGCCTATGTCTCAGGACTGTTTTTCTCTGTCAAAACGACCTACCTCCTTTGGCAGTCAATGTGCAGGACTAATGATAATTATCATTATTTGTCAACCCAGTTCACTTTAGCGATTTGCTGGTAGCCAGAGGCCTTGATGGCTTTGTTGCTCCAGAAGATCCGGCTGGTCAGTCAAAGCACAGGAAGTCGGAAGGCACTCCTCCGTAGAAGAATCTCATTTCAATACTTTCAATCCTTTGCATCAGTTCTTCCATCTAATACGCATTTTGTATTTTGAAACAGTGACTTTCGGCTGGGTAACCAGTTTGCTTTCCGTATTTCAGTTACGGAAGGTACCTCTGGTGCGTTTGGGGCGCGATCCTCAAGTCAAGGAGGCAAGTGGTGTGAACATTTGCAACATGGTCATTCTGACACAGGTGAAAGCCGACCACACTTTGGATAGATGAGAATCCAACATCTGTTTTCAAGTGGTTTTGCAATGGTGTCAACACTGTGTTATTCCGCAGGCGCTCTGTGGCCGCTCCCTGCTTCACTGCCTCGAACGGCACCTGGACCGGGCATGCCGTGGAGCTCGGATACGACTGGAGTGACATGGGCTGCACATGGGCTGCGCTACGAGTTTCCCGAGTTTCCTATGGGTTTGGATTTTGCTGGTGCTCGTAACTTCTGCTTGGTCCGAACCAGAATTTTTGATTTCCATTTCCAACACATTTCATTAAAGGCAAGCGTTGATGTTTGAGACTGGGACTGAATCAAGGGTTTGGACGACAACAAGTCTTGGCGTAGAAATGTGTACCACACAGTCTGATAGACCGCTAACCAGATCTTCCAACATCACATATTTATACATATTTCATATTTGATCAGATGTGCATCCATGCCGCCCTGCCCGGGCTGCCTCTAATAGCACTGGGTGCAAGTGCTCAGGACTTGTGGTGCCTTGATGGTGTCGCTTACAGATGACCAGGATGTAGCGGCTCTTTGTGCATTCCTAGCGAGACCAGCTTAGACCTTTGATACCATAGATTTTTGATCTCAAACAACATGTTCAAATTGGTTTGACTTGGCCGTCCGTTGCATCAGGAGCCAATAGAAGCTGATATGCCAACACCAGTCCGTGCGCGCCGACGGGATACGGAGAAGAACCGGAGGAGTGCTGGACCGGTGAACTTGTTGGGTGGCTTGGCCTTGTCACGGGGGAATGCAACAGCTATAGGCATTGAGATGGAATTGAGCTGCATGATACTGACCTGCATCAATTTGATCAATTTGGAACGTGCCACATCGTGCCACTGCTGCAAAGGACGCTAAACAATCACCCACGATTGAAGCACTAAACAGTTCCAGCCCACTGCCATCTCATGTGCATTTGGTTCAGTCAGGCTTGTGACAGTGCACGGTATGTCAGTATATATATATATATGATATATGCATATTATATTATGTTATATAATACACGCACACGTATATATATATATACATTATATCACGCACGCACACGCACACACACACACACACATATATATATATATACATAGCGCAATCTCGTTCGAATAATGATGGGCCTCGTTAAGATTACGCACAGGTACACATTGATTCAATGCACATTTCGATTCTCGCAAGGCGAAGCACCTGGAATGGCAGTACTGTTGAAGCCTCCAGGTCACACCTCTGAGGCAGCCTTGAATTTGACTTGAAGATTTTGATGTTTTGGATTTTACTGTTCCAAAAGTCTGAGAGAATCTGAGAGATAATGCGCCTCGGGCTTGCATAGACCCCTGCGTTCAGATGGCCCGAGGAGCAGCTGGAGGCTTTGCAAGCGCACTACGACCTGCACAATGTGGAGAGGTCGAAGGGGAACAAGTCTTGAATGGAATGAGAGTACAGCAAGATCCTTTCCTTGCCAGCCATGTAAGATTATCTTGGCTGTCATCCCGTGCCATTCCTGCTTTGGAACCGGCATTGGCATCGGTCTCTATTGGTCTTTTGTGCTAGGCGAGTCATTTCGGTCAGCCGTTTGGATCGCGATACCTCTGGGGTGCTAGTGGCTGCCACATGCCAAGAAGGGGCAGATTGTCTAACGAACCAGTTTAAGGACAGCTGAGGCCACACATGATTTGATTTGCTGAGGGTCAGCTTGACGCTATGTGGCGATGGATTTGCATTGGCCCTGCTTGGAGAGTTGCTGCAGGAGCATGAAGTCTTCAAGCGTTACTTGGCTCTTTGCACTGGCCGTGTGGAACCTCAAGAAGGCGCTCGGTTTTCCTGCTGGAAGGTGCAGTGATTTCAATCTCAGAGCAGAGTTGGATTTCTAGTGGCTTTAGTACCCTTCCGGACTCGTTCCCAGTTTTCCCAGACTTTCAAAACGCTAGGGGAGATCAGTGCGAAGCTCTTCATCTCTGGCTTTGCTGAAAAGTACCGAGTCTCTCGGCACAGCACAATTGCGAGTCTGGCCTTGATATGAATGAAACCGAGGCATATGTGTCGCCCAAAGGGAAGCCTTCATTGACAATCTACCAGGTCTTAGGTGTTTTCCGACGCAGGTGTTGTGCACAGGACCGGTCAGACAGGGTTGTGGATCGTGGAGCTGTGGGCATTGCAGGTTCAGCCTTGTCCTTTTGCTGACAAGTCCTCTGTGAGAGACGTCAAGCTTTTGATATTTTTGATCACTTTCTTCATGGAGTTTCGTAGCATTCGACACAGCCTGACGCAGCAGGAAACACAAAGGTTGCAGGGCACCGATGAGCTCATGCGGGCAATCGGCAGCTACGCTGTTCTTTGGCTCAGTTGAGGGTGGAAACTCCAGACTCGCCACCCATTGGATGGTTGACCCAATGCCCAACATGACCTCAGTATCGGGCGCATTTTGCCGATGGGTCGAAGCTCTGTCGGAAAGTTCTTGAGGCGAAAGCTCCAAGAAAGGAACCCTGCGATGAGGCTAGATTTCTGATCAATCGGAGGGGCTGCCATGCGTAAGATTCGGCACCGTTGAATGGTGACCTGATTTGGTGATGTCATGTCGCAGTTGCGGTTGTGTCTGTTGGGCAACTGTGAAGCTGTGAAGAGAGCCGATGAAGGAGTGGTATAGCCTGCTGGCTTGCTATCCTCGTACCGGCCGGACACACCAAATTCGTGCTCACCTCCAGTTTAGAGGACGGACTGCTGTGTGGTTCATTCGATGGAGCTAGGAACCCATGTTGAAAGATCGAGCTTTCTTCCCAGTTATCTCTTGTTGAACCATTGGACGAACGTGCACTCTGACATGTGAAGGGCTCAGCCTTGTATAGATCCACAAAGTGTGTTTGGGCCAGCCTTTTGTTCTGCATGTATTGCTGGGCAGTACATGTACTGCAGCTGGAAGTCACCCGCAATTGTGCCAGGCCACCCTTTGGTGAGCGATGCCAACTACAACCCCCGCGGGCAAGCAAGGCGTCACTTTGCATCTTGGTGGAACTGGGGGACACAGATGAAAATGCATGAAAATGCTGTCCATGAACACAATTTCAAATCGCTGAATTCCATGGAAAAATCATATCGTCCAATTCAACGCCTGTGCTCGTTCGCTTGGAAGTGTGGCATGACTGAAAAATAGAGCAACCCTCAAAACCTTGGGATGGCCAGCCGCTGAGGAGTGGTGTCCTCGCTTGTGGCTTCACTGCGAAGAGATGTCATTGTTGGACGTTGAGGGACGGCGCCAGCATTTCAGGTGCGAGCCACAGCCCTCCACAAGCACTATTTCTCCAGATCGCCAGCTCATTGAGGATGAACCCAAGTATTGCACACGTTTGATAGACGTCATAACATAACAGGAGACACGCGATGATTTCTTTAACTTGCTTTGGAAGAAGAAGGTTTCAATCTATTGGCTCATTTGCACGGAACCTTGTGCCGCTGTAATATTTGCCAGGTATTTTTTAAATAAATACATCCAAAACACTATATATATATATAGATAGATAGATAAAGGTATCGGCTCCGCAGGGAAGCCCGACCCCCCTGAGAGCCAGAGACCTTAGTGGGCGCGTGTGCCATCACGCCCACGGGCTGCTTTCGCCTTTGCGCGGCCTTTGGCATTGCAGTCGCTTGTGCTCTGTCGGAACAGTGCAGTCCGACACCACCTTCGCTTCTGCACTTGCCCTACCCCGTTTTTGATCTTCTTGGACCTTGGGGACCTCGTGAACGGCACGTTGTATGTCTTCTTGGAGTAGACTGGCTGGGGTCATCTACTTCATTTCCATCTTTGGGCCTCTCTTCTTCCTGATCTACCACTACGGCATCTGCAACAGCTCGTCGAGCGCTGCGAAGACAGCGCGCGAGGGCACGGACCTCGTGGTTTTTGCATCGGAAAGGACTGCGCCCTTTGAGACCTCTACAACTGCTGCGTATCCATCAGGTTTTGAAACATCATCACTCCAAGGATCCAAAGTTTTTGCAGTCGATCTCAGCTGCAATGTCGGAAAAAACGCCGTGGCGTTGCCTTCACTGCAAGCAACTTCGCAAGCACTCGGTCACATATTGCTGCAACCAACCATGGCAGACGGTGATGGATCATACCTACATACATCAACCTCGTCATGGACAGGACAGCAAGACCAATTATACCCCTCATTGGGGACAGGATCGACCTTGGGGCCAAGGATGGAGGGATTCTCCCCGGCAGCGAGTTCAGTCTCCACGTCATCGCAAAGGTGGTCATCATCAAGGAGGAAATCAGGGTGGAAATACGCCGAGAGCCAAATCACATGGGAGAGGACAGGGACAGAAAGGCAAGGGCAAAGGCAAGGGCGATGTCCCCATGCCGCCGCCCCAGCCACATCCCATGCCATGGCCGGGCTATTATCCAATGGCGCCACAAATGAATCCGGCAATGATGATGCCCAACATGATGAACCCGACACAGATGGTTTTGCCGATGTCCAGCGGAATGCAAGCCACACCTGCACCCTTGCCTCCGCCACCGGTCAATCCCATGACAGCGGAACAACAAGCGAGAGAACAGAAGATGCAGGAGCTCATGATCTACCTGAAGAAGCGCGGACCGGATCTCCCATCAGATGTCACTCAACGAGTGCAAGAAATCACCAAGAAAGATGGTGCCCAAGCAAAACGAGATTTACAAACGGCTGCGAAAGCTCTGGGTCAGGCAAAGGACGACTTGGAGGCGGCACTTTTGGCTCGTACCAACTTCATCGCGTCCTGGAAGACGTTCCTTACGGACGCTGTGCAGACATGGCAGGAGTATGCCAGCCTTTTTCAAGCTCAAGAAACAGATCACCAAGAGCGGATTCAGGCGGCAAGAGACGCTTTTACGACTGCCAAGGACGAAGTGGAGGAGACCAAAGCAATTGTGGGGGAAGTGATCGAGATCCAGGACGAGGAAGAAGAACCACTGGGCCAGCCCAGCGTGACCACCTCTGCCAAAATCACAGAGAGCATGCAATTTCTCACTGCCTCCTTGAAGCAATTCCAAGCTCAAGCAGAGGAGATCAACTTGGAAGTGCAGACGTCCCACAAAAGGCAGAGGACAGATGCGCCAGAGAAGCCGGACGCTCCCATGTCTCCCAACGAGCCTGGAGGTGGTGCTGCTACATCCTCGCCTGCCAAGCCGCATTTTGCGAGGGCCGGTCACCCATGACCTTAGAGTATGGGGGCCCATGGCCTACAGGTGGTGAAGCCAGGCTGGGGCGCCAACCAGCCGTCCTAAAGTGGACACACAGCATCATCCATGAACCGACCTTCACGACCGAGTGGCAAGCTCGCGAAAACGCTAGAGGGCTAGCGATGGAGATGGCCGACGGCAATCTGAAGGGATCGCTCTCACAGTTTCCCACCATTGAGTTTCACATACCCAAGAAGGGCAAGCACAAACATTTGCTTGTGGAGAACTTTGACTTTCAGGATCGATCTATGGTGGATGTTCCGGGTTTGACCTTCAAACCTGACCCCAGTGATCAAGCACAGTTTCCTGATCCTCCAGCTCCACAGCCAACCGCGCAATCCTTTTCCCGTGCTTCCAGACCATCATTTCTGGATCGCCCTTATTGGCAGCAACGAATTTGGCAGATTTTGCAGGAGGAAGGAGTTTTTGATGAAGCAGCTGATGGACCAGTCTTCTACATGAACACCTACTTCATCTGCCATCTTACAAACCGGAGACAGGACAGTGGACGCCCAGTAGGATTCAGCACAGACATTGAGTCCTGGGAGAACGACATGCGTTTCATGTGGGAAGACCTTGTCAACCCCAACCTGCCGATCTTTGCACATGTCGTGCAACCTGACCCACCGGTGAGCAGAAGGCCAGGAACTTTCGGCACTTTGATCATTGTTCAGAATCCCACACCATTACGTGCCGCATGTTTGACAACGTCCATTGAGCCAGCTCTTCCACGCATCAAGATTGAAGAGGTTGCACATTCCCTTGACAGCATTCTGCCCTACCGGCATGTGATCTTTCACGCAGGAGCCAGTGCCGTCTGTGATGATAGAAGCGCACGAGGCCTTGGAACTTGTGATATTCTTGTCGGACGGCGTGTTCTACCTCAAGGGCAACCGGTGCGGATCTATGATGGAATTGGACTTGTCATCAACATCCCACCTCCTCTTCAACCTGCGGATTGGGAGCAACACTTTTTGGCCAGTCATGGAATTGAACCACCGAACAATGACGAGGTCTCATGGATGAACCTTGGCACCCGGACCTCTTCGTCCTCTAGTTCATCCACCTCGCCTGACAGACCTGAGACACATCAACATCAACAACCGGATCCACAGGATTCAGCCTTCTCTACGGACGAACACTCCTCTTGCAGCAATACCACGGGTAATGGAACCGCCAATTGGAGAGACTTTGTTGTCTTCACCATTCCTGGCCCAACAGCGCAGCTGTCCTTACCGTGGCACAATGAAGAAGAATTTTACCATTTGATTGAGGAAGCCTTTGGCCTCAATGAGCAGGAGATCGTGCAAGTCCATCAAGTGCGGCATACGCCCAGTGACATTGCCGATACCAATCATGAATGCCTCATTGTCCAGACTACGGCACACCCTCCAAGTGCAGCTATCATGCGACTGGTCATTGTCGACATTGAAGTGCACACGGAAGACTACACTACACCAGTCGTGTTTGCCAGGCGTGCATGTTGGCTTCCCGAGATAGCCACACGACTGACAGTGTTTCGCCTTCTGGGCATTGAAGAGTACTTCTGGGCAGACCCTGATCGAGCTCACATCTGGCTCAACTTTGACTGGATCGCGCAGGATGACACACGTGCCATCACCATCTACAATGGCGATTATTTGGTCACGACCATTGGTGAAGAAGCACTTCTAGGTTCTCTTTCTCCCCATGACTTTGCCATGACACCGGAGACGGAAACCCATCTTGACGATGCACGTGATCTACAAGATGACACCCTATCTCTCTTTCATCATGACCTGCGACTTGGACAACCATTGCCACGCCAATGTCAAAGCGATCACAATTCTACGTCCTATGCCACAGCTGATCTGCCTCCCATGCCAGCCACTCGGAGAACAGGACCAAGGAGGAGATTCTTTCAAGCGGGCTGGAGCACTTCCTTAGAAAATCGCTTTGCCAGAACAGCCTTCACTGAGATGGCAGAGGAAGGACGAGTTGCCTATATGGTCACTTGGTACCTCAACAAACGAACCTTCCCTACCTGCTTGACATCCCGTACGGTGAGACTTACCGATGATATCTCTACCTGGGAAGATCAGATTGTTGCAGCCTGGGAAGACTTGTTCATCTTTCAGGCGGAAGCCCTTCTTCACTGGGTTCATCCAATTCCGCCACAGAGTACGCTTTCCAGTCATGTGGGCCATTTGATTCTTGAACAAGAACCAGATGAAGACTCGGCGGCGATTGTCCTTACGACCCATAGAGTCAGACAACCCACCACCTTCATTCAGCAAGCAGCCCACATTGTTCCTGGACTGATACACAGAAATGATCTTCTTGACCGAGCTCAACTACATGATTCTGAACAACATCTACGTTCACTATGTCGAATCCATCAGGGAGGCATACCATTTGGCATCGCAGATCGACGCCTTGAACCGGAGCCCATCACCAGTGGTTTGAGTTTGGATATTTTTCTTCCTTCAGCTCAACCACCCCCATCATGGATCTCGACGACAACCCCATCGGGCTTGCAGTCTTTGGTTCTACTTGGCTCTGGAGAACCTCTCCCTGAAACTGGTGGAGCAACCAACAGTGACGATGAAATCATTCTGATGCAAAGAAGCTCATCTGGGTCTCAACATGGAAGTTGCACAGCTGAGGCTGATGCGACAAACCAACCAGATCAGCATCCTACATCAGAGGACCATTCATTCTGCTTCAACGCCAATGCACCAGCTTTTCAGCCTGGCCTACCTGTCATTGCAGCTCAGAATGAATTTGTCCAGGATTTACACTCCATTTGGGATGCCAGGGCTTTTAGTTGGGAGGAGGAAGAACGTTCCACGCGGATTTTGACCTTCTTCACGGATCATCGCTTTCCCCATCTACGATGTGATCATGGACGACCTGTCCGTCTTTTTGCGGATTTCACTGATTGGGAGCGACAAATCCACCTGGCATGGCATGATCTAATTGTTCCAGGCATCCCATCAGAACTTCAGATTGTGCACCCACATCCTCCACAGCTTGGGCCAGACTATGTCGCTTGTGTTGTTCTTGTACAAGCTCCCAGGGAGGATTTAGTGAGTCCACTCATCACCCTTTTTGAAGGAGCACACCATTTGTACCTTCGTGGCAGGAGTGCGGTGACAGTACATGAACACATTTTCCTGGAGCACATCGCATACAGTTTGGGACTTCATGACCACTGTTTCGGGGATGCTGCCACACATCAATGCCAAGCATGGTATCAGGGCATACCACTCATTGCAGGACGAGCTTTACCTGGACGAACGGGCAATGGCATCATCCTGCAACTCCGGACTGTACAGCATGTGACAGTGAACCGTAGCAGAGGAGTCGAAGGAGTGTCACTACTTCAACGCCAAGTCAGACTTCATGCGCCACGATCCATCCCAGAGATCGATGCTGCTGACGCTGATGAGCTGAATGTCACAGACACCCAGATGCGTGTGATCGATTTGATACCGGGAGCTCCCATGGCTCCGCTTCCAGACCGTGTCGAGATTGCCAAAGATGGGGGTCAGAAGGAACTTGAAGCAGAACTCCTTGCTTGGGGACATCGTGGTAAAGCTATCATTTTCGATGACCATGACAAGGCAGCGTGCTTTCCTCCAGGTTGGCAAGTTGATGAAGGCTTTAACTACATGTTCTGTCACTCCGACGCCACAGACAACAAGGGGGCCTTCCTACATTCATGTAGCTCTGCTCTGCCGGAAATTGACCTCCTCCGATTCTTGTATCGCTGTGGATATCAACGTGCAGTCGTCAACTATTGCACTGAGGTTGCACCCCATTTCTACAAGGTCAACTTCACTGATCAGCAAGTGGCACAACTCGGCGCTACACCGAAGGACAAACCATCTGCACATTGGCCAGCTCCACAACCACGATGCTCTTCTAAGGCGGTTCCTTTTTCATTTGGTACGTCCTTCTCTACTGATCAACTACTTCGTACCAGCATCTCCCACCAAGATCTTCAAGGATTCTTTGGTTCCCATGATGGCATCTTCCACAAGGATCCCTGTGGGTTTGAGTTTCCAGAAGAAGTTCTGCAAGCAATCAATGCCTGTGACCCGACGTTATGCTGGGAGGATCTGGACCGCTTGATCATTTATGCCGATGGATCCTCAGCTGGGGCGGGCAGACACCTTCCACCCCTGCGAGCTGCAGAAGAAGGCAGTGGAGACGCTTGGGCCTACGTAGTGCTCGGGGAAAGATACTCCCCTCCTGGCCTCACATTGCTGGGATGGAATGCCCAACTGGTCCAATATGATCCCGAAGGAAACCACTTTTTGGGCGCAGACCGCATTGGAGCAGATATTGCAGAAAAGGAAGCGATGAGCTGGGCCGGCTTGTGGCGCTTGAGCCACAACTCCTCCCTTCCAACGACATTCAGAACTGACTCCATGACCACTGAGCTACAAGCCAGCGGCCATATTGGGAATCCTACAGGCACAGAGTCTCATGCGACCCTTCGAGGGATTTTTCAAGCTCTGGAGTCTTTATTGCCTGGAGAAGCCCTACAGCATTGTCATGTACCAGGACATTGCGGAGAACCCTGGAATGAACTCTGTGACTTCCTCGCGAAGCTTGAGATTCACAAGAGCCAGTACTTCCGCAGACCGGCCCTGACAATGCGCATGTGGCGCCCTGCATTGAGCTATCTATGGATGATTCTCAGCCAACAAGATGGACTGCCCCGTTTTTGTGGTGAAGGCTTTCATGTTCCTCCTCCACAACTTCCTGCTCCACGACCAGATCAGCCACTGGACTCATCACAGCGGCCTACTGTTGCAGTTTCCTACTACTTCAGTCTGTGTACGGCCAATGTCAATTCTTTGAGTGCTGGTCCTGACGGTCACCGTGGCAAGCTTGATTATTTGCGTAAGCAGTTCATTCACCTGGGACTCAATGTTCTTGGAGTCCAAGAAGCCCGCACACCTTCTTCCCATACCTTTGTGGATCAGGTGATTCGATTGACTTCAGGAAGCAAGAGCACTCAACTTGGCGTCGAACTCTGGATCAACACAGCCCAACCATATGGCTGGTGTGAAAAAGCTGCACTTCATTTCAAACGTGAGCACTTCCAGGTGGTTCACAAAGATCCTCGAGCCCTTCTGGTACATGCAGTTTGTCCTCACTTTGATGCATGGTTCCTTGTTGGTCATGCGCCACATAGCGGTGTTGATGAAGAAACTCGCCTAGCTTGGTGGGACCATTTTACTGCTCTGGGGGCTCGGAGAACATCTGGAACCCAACTTTTTGTCATGGTGGATGCAAATGCTGCCCCAGGGGGTTGGGATGGTTCTGCTGTCCTTCGACGCGATTTAAAATCCAGCCCAAGTACTCCATTGTGGAGAGACTTTCTACAAGCTTGTCATCTTGGACTACCATGTACAAGTGCCATTCACCAAGGTGATTTAGAGACTTGGATCTCTCCTGATGGAGCCACACAGCATTGCATTGACTACATCGCTGTTGACCTGGACCTGATGGAAGCTTGCACCTTTTCGAGCATCGTCGAGGACTTTGACCTTGGCCATGCCCAATGGGACCACACAGCAACGGCAGTGCAGATGCAATGGAAGAGAAGCCACCAGGCCCTTCCTAAACCTGCTGTGCGAAAGACCAAGTTTGCTCCACACAAGATCACGACCCAGAAGATTGAGGACATTCTTCAAGGGTATTGCACTTCATCCTGGGACACCAACATCGAAGCTCATGTTGAAGGATTCAATGCTCATATCATACAAGGGCTACATCAATCCTGTCCTCAGGGATCAGACGCACCAAAGAAGCCTTACATAGATGATCAAATTTGGGAGCTCCGGAAGGCCAAGCTCGGCAGACGTCGCCAACTCAAGGACATCGGGAGACGGCTCCGCGAAGAGACCAGAGTTGTGGTCTTCCAACGCTGGAAGAAGCTTCGACATTGCCCACAGGATCCAATCTCTGATTCATCTGTGGATTCAGTCTTCTTCGATTATGGCAGCAGTCTCCTATGTTACAAACTACATGCTTGGAGTGCTCTACGTGCGGATTCGAGACAGCTCCGTCTTCGACTACGTTCTGCTAGACAACGTCACATCCAGCATTGCTTTGAACATATGGACCCGGGAGCTTCGGCATCGACTATTCTGCATACGCTCCGGCCTATCACTGGACCTTCCAACCTCAAGAAGCTGAAGACCACCGCACTTCCATATTTGCAGAAAGAAGACGGTAGTCATTGCCAGAATCCTCTGGAAGCGAGAGAGGAATGGATCCGATTTTTCCAGCAGATGGAGGGAGGCACTCGTCTCTCCCTAAATGAGCAGCGGGACCAGTGGATAGCCTCGCTTGCCACTCTGGCCAATGAACACCTACATGTTCATGTTTCCGAAATGCCTACGCTTCTTGACCTTGAAAGGGCATTTCGACGTGTTCAACCCACCAAAGCCGTTGGGCCCGATGGCATTCATCCTGCCATCTGCCATTCAGCTCCGAGCCAGATGGCCAGACGTTGTTTTACTCAACTCATGAAGTTTTACCTCCACGGCCAAGAAGCTCTTACCCATAAAGGTGGGTGCCTCCATCCTATCTGGAAGGGGAAAGGGCCTATGGACATCTGCAGCTCATTTCGCAGTATACTGGTCTCCAGCCATGTCGGCAAATGTCTGCATCGTGCAATTCGTCAGAAACAATGCACACTCTTCGAGAGGTACCTTCAAGCTGAACAGCTAGGCGGCAGACCACATGTTCCAGTCACTCTGGGAGTCCATGTTGTTAGAGCCTACTTGAGGCAGCAAGCGACCAGAGGTCATTGTGTTGGACTCGTATTCCTCGATTTGACGGAAGCTTTTTATCGAGTCCTCCGTCCATTAGCTATTGGAGGGCCGATTGATGACGATACCATTATCCAGATGGCGCACCGCCTTGGCTTGTCTGACGACATTTTGCAGGGCCTTTGGAAGCATCTAGCGGACCCGCATGCCACGGCACTTGCGCAACTTCCTCCACAAGCTCAACATGTTCTTCGGGCTCTACACAGCGAGACACATTTTCATCTTCGTGGACAAGATGATGTCTGCAAAACAAAAGTTGGCACCAGGCCGGGAGACTGCTTTGCAGATGTAGTGTTCTCCTACTTGTGGGCCCGGCTCTTGCATGGACTTCAAGAGCGTTTTCGTGAGTTTGGGCTGGAGAATGTGATTCCTGCACATCCAACATTCGAACCGTTTGGCGTTCCACAGGACGATCAGCTGGGTGGTCCGACCTCAGCGTTCATTGGTCCTACATGGATGGACGATCTCTGCCTATGCGCGTCAGCGGAAGATGCTTTATCCTTGGAGCGCAAGGTCCGTCTTTGTACCTCCTGGCTACTTACAGCCTGCCGCCAGTTTGCCATGACGCCCAATCTCAAAACTGGCAAAACAGAAATTTTTCTGTCATTGCGCAGACGCCATTCTCATCAGATCAAGAAGAAATATTTTGGTCCGTCCGCGTCCGGACTCATGAGCATCATTGATGAGGACAAGACCCATCAAGTTCGGGTTGTGAGTGGCTACCAACACCTTGGCGGTTGGGTTCGCCACAAGCAGGACAATGTGGCGGAGATCCGGAAGAGGATTGCCATCGCTCATACCACATTTACGCAGCATCGAAAGACACTCCTGCAGAATGCCGGCCTCAGCCTGCGTCGAAGGGTGGAACTGTTTCGAAGCCTCATCCTAAGCAGACTTTTGTATGGAGCTGAATCCTGGACCATTGGGACTCAGAAGTTCAAGCACTACTTGCACTCTGCTATTTTGCGGCTATATCGGCGGCTTCTTCCTGACCTTCGAGACCAACACGCTGCAGATGATGAGATTCTGTGTCGCACGGGGTTGCCCTCTCCAAGCGAGCTACTCCGTGCGTGTCGACTGCGATATCTCTGCACGCTCTTCGCATGTCATGACGTTGTTCCATGGGGACTTCTCAATGCTGACACTTCCTGGATCGCCCTGGTCCAGGATGACATCACATGGATGTGGCACCAACTTAAAGGCGCTTCTTCCCTTTTGGACCCCCGAGAACACTTTGAGTCATGGCGCTACTTGCTCCGCTACCATCGCCCATTCTGGAAACGTTTGGTTAGAAGAGCTTGTGAACATGTTTGTCTACAGCGGGCCAATCGCTTCCAGGTCCTAGAGGCACATCATCGAATTCTGGATGAGTTCATCACCTTGGGGCACCTCTCGGATTCCATTTTCCATGAGGGCTTGGACGAAGGCTTGCGTGAAGAAGCTTTTGGGTGTATGTCCTGCAGGCGAGCCTTTAGCAGCCGTGGGGGTGAAGGTGCCCACATGTTCAAAGTACATGGCATCTGCAACCGCGTACGGAAGCTATTCAACACAACGACTTGCCCGGCGTGCCTTAAGGAATACTTCACCTATGGCAAGGTCAAGAATCATCTCCTGTACTCGGAAGAATGTCGCAGAATCCTCATTGGGCGTGGACACTTTGTTGAACCAGTTGGCGGATGGGGGTCCACTCAGGATGGACACCTTGCAGCTGCCCATGATGCACTTCTTCCACCTCTCCAAGGAGAAGGACCCCAACAACTGGCCGTACTTGGTGAGGAAGTTCTACATGATTTAGTCCTGGGAGAAAACATCTACCAGGCACTGGCCGAAAGAGAAGATTTGCAATCCTCCCACAACATTGAGCAGATCATTCGGGACGCGATCCATGCGCGCCATGTATCCTGGACATCGTGTTCGGCCACCCTACGCTACCTCATCGAGCACATCACCATTGACGATGCGGAGGCGATCGGGCTGGCGCACAGGGAGTTTGTCAACGTCCTGAACTACCTCAACAATGGCGCGGCATGGAGTTTCCTTGGGCATGATCGACGACAAGGACCTCCCCGAGCAGAGATCGAGCAGATCCATGCCATCTTGGAGCACGAAAGTACCTCCACAGGAAGGGACTTTCTGCAAGTTCCTACACCCAGGCCCTTTGGGCGGCACCGCTATGTGCTCCACGCATTTTCAGGCCGTCGACGTCTCGGGGATTTCCAGTATTTCCTTGACCGTGCTGGAACTGCGGATGATGGATTTGTCTTGCACACGATTTCATTGGATCTGGTAGTAGATGATTGCTGGGGAGATGTTAGCAGGGTAGAGACACGCAATTTCTGGCTTCAAGGGATCAAGGAGGGCTTTGTTACATCGCTTTTGGCAGGTCCCCCTTGCGAGACCTGGTCAAGAGCCAGAGGTGTCGCACTACCTGGCAAACGCTGTCCTCGGATTATCCGCATCATCGAAGCATTATGGGGAATGGAGTCACTTTCACTTCGTGAACTACGGCAACTAGGTGTGGGAAACCTCTTGCTCTTGTTCACGATCGAAGCTTTGGTTCATCTTGCTATCGCAGGAGGACATGGCATCCTAGAGCATCCAGCGATGCCAGAAGATGAAGACCGGGCGTCCATCTGGCGTTTGCCCCTGGTCAATTTCCTCCTTACTTGGCCCGACTTCCGACTTGTCAGCCTATCTCAAGGTCTATGGGGTGCAGCTTCTCCGAAACCTACGATGCTGCTCGCCTTGAACTTCCCGGACCTGGAGAAACATTTGCTCTCATGGCAGGTTGCCAAGGACTTGCCAAAGGGCGCATCTATAGGGATGGACAATTCTGGTCAATGGGCCACTGCCAAGCTGAAGGAATACCCACCTGCGCTTTGCGGTGGGCTCAGCGAGGCCTTCTTTGCTGTCCACCGTGCACATGCCACGAGTACAGCTTTAGGTTTCAGCCATGAGTTCCACTCCCGTTGCTCTCGCATGGAAGTGACGAGCTTCGGTGATGTAATCGGACGCGATTACGCTGGCTGAGATTCAATCCCTTGTATAGTCATTGCATTGGCCGCATCGAAAGATCCTATGTGCCAGTAGCAAAAAAATAGATAGATAGATAGATGGATAGATAGATAGATAGATAGACAGATAGATAGATAGATAGGTATGATCCGCGTTTCTGTTCCAAAGCTCGACCTATTGTACTGGCTGCTTGCAGTTGCAAGGGCCCCATTGCCATTGGATTTGCTGAATGTCTTGGAGAAACTCGAGGCAAAGCACTGGCTGCTGAAGGGGGCTGGTGCGTTTAGTGGGAGAGAGAGAGAGAGAGAGTTGCCATGGCTGACGCCATGTCCATGTGTTTCGCTGATGGATGTTACTCATGGAAATGCATTTAGCCTTGTACTGATCTGGTGTGTGCCACGATGCAGTAGCAGCGGCCTTTGCGAGGCCGCAGATGGAACCAGTGCAGCGGATGTGGTGAGTGCTGGCTGCGTTGCGATGTCAAACCAAAAAAAAGCGATTTGCTGCGCATGACCATGTGGGCTCATGCGTAAGAGGATGGCGCAGCCGCCCTTTGCACAGTCAAACTATTGTTTTTCGATACTTGCTAGTGTTATAAGTTATAAGTGTTGGCTTGAACTTTTTTGCTATGGCTCTCCTGCAGCTTTGGGCAAGCAGGTGACCATGGTCTGCTTGCTTGTGGCACTTGTTCTTCACTAAGCCTCGGGTGTGCGAGAGCCGGAAACACCGTCTCATCAGGTCATGTATCTACACCGCTGAGGAGGAGAAAGTCTTTGTCCGAGATCATTTAGGCTCGCAGAGCTTTGGGTGGCATTTGGGTACGAATATGATCACGGAAGTTATTAGATTATGAGTTAAAACGACTAGACATGAGTTGTGTGACTACTTGTGGCTGCTTATTTGGAGGATGCTAGTGATGCAGGTGATGCTGGTGACGCTGGTGATGCTGGTGATGCTGATGCTGCTGCTGATGATGGTGGTGTTGACGATGAGCGCCTCAAGCTCTTGGCTCAAAATGGCAAAATGTCAGCGTGGCCAGGTAGCTGGGATGGTGCCTCGTATGGCCAGGTGCTGCAGGTTCAGGGCAACTTCCATTGTCATGCTCTTCCTGTTGATCAAGATGCTTTTCTCGCTGGCGTTTGTAGGTTTGAACGCCCCAACTTTGTTTGGTCCAAGGGTATTCGGGTCACCTGCATCTGCGATTCCACAAAAAGCAATATCAGACAAAGCGGCTCGGGACAATCGTGCCAACCAGATGAACCCGAACAATGCTGAATACATGGCCTCGCGTGGCAACGCTCCGCTGACTGGTGAGCAGAGGGAGGCGTTTGCAAAGAAGTCAGCACTGAGGAAGGAAAACGAAGGAAACTTCGAAAACCGTGCCAATCAACTGGCTCCAAAGGACAAGCTGAATCTACTCGCGTTCGAGCACTTTAAAGAGATACTGAGAAGAGTTGTGCCTGGCATGTCACTTCGCAAGACTGGTTCAAGGGCCAAGGGAACCGCCACTTCCAACTCGGATTGGGACTACCACGTTAAGACGAAAAGGCCCATGACCATAGAGCAGCGTGACCTGGTGCTGGAGAATTGCAGAGACGAGGGATTGCAAGTAACATGTCGGAAAGCCTTCACAGTAAAACCAGGGTCCGGAGCTTTCATTGACTTCTTTCCGCCGAACGCTGAGTGGCATGATAACAAAGTTGAAGTCCAAGAACCTGGCAGCGTGCAATTCGACAAGGGGGGCAAGAATGCTGTTCGGAAGTTGAAGCAGAAATTCCCTGAAAAAAATGGCCATGATCTTGAGCAGCTTGTCCTAACGATTCGGAGAGAGATGGGATTGTCGGACAGGAATGACCCCTCTGGTGAGAAGCGTTTTCAGGAAGCACAAAGGAGGCTTAACAATGGAGAATGCTAGAACATGGCCGTTTCAACTGCTTTCCTTATTGCCGGTTTATGATGACCGTTATTTTTTTTCAACTTCTGCTTTCAAGTGTTGTCTTTGTCACTCCAATTCATAGAAACCGCGGCGAAAATTGGTGTGTCTTGAGCCGTACGGACAGGATTGCAGTCACTTGGCGGCCGCAAGCCCATACACGAAAAACGGCAGCACACAGCCTGTTGTCAGAGCTCAGAGCACTGGCTTTGAGAAACATTTCCTGCAAGGCCCAGCACTGCGCAGCACTTACCCAGAGGCGGGGTTGAACATGTGGCTGTGTCAAGCTCCAGGGGTTCACAAAGCCATCCAACAAAATATGCGGGATTGATAAACCTAAAAGTGTTGCTCCGGCGCTTTTACTGGCTGACTCTTCTGCAAAACGTTTGTCAAGGTGAAGATAATGGCTTGGGACCACAATCGAGATGGCATGCTGGAGCGGGCCAGTGTGGGGTGCTGAGCAGCCAAGCATCGGCCTAGATTCCTAGATACAGTGGTTGAATGTAGTTTTCCACAAGGCTTTGACAGGGATATGTCAGGTATGCCCAGCTGCCCACGCCAACAGGGTTAGCAAAACATCGAACCGCAAGCATCAAAGTATCAAAGCATCAAAGCACTGTTTCTCTGGACTCTGTAGATGAGCAAACTAGCTGATTGAGCCATCCGAGGTGATGTATGACGATCCAGCTGCCGCTGATTTTTTGTGGGGAGTTGCTTACCACTGGTATGGTGGGGCCACCCAAGAGTGCCCATGTCCAATTTGTTAAGCCTGTTCACCTAGACCAACGCGTTTAGCTGCTTAGCTGTTGTGCCCAATTCCGGCTAGGTGATGCTCGTTTTGAGACATGGCCTCCTCGCACGGAGGCACATGAGACCAGTGGATGCAAGAGGTTCTAATAGTGCTGTGGAGTGGCCTG